CCTTGGAATATATCCACGTACTTTGAAATTTCCCCATCCAACATCACCGTTGGGGGGGGGGGGGGAATGATCACCAGTAACAGTTACAGCATCCGCAAGGTTCGCAGCGCAGCAGCATTACAAGTCGCAGTCGAACCAGCAGAAACAGGAGCAAGTAGCGACATGTAGTCGGTCATTCCAAACGGGCTTGTTTGTATGTAGCGCTGAGCGTACTGATCGCGGGCGACCCGGCGTGGTCATCCGAGGTGGTCACACGGGTTGAACGAGCTACTTGTAAATAGAGACCATTGGGCTGCTTGAAGAAGCTGCAGTTGCGTGTTGACGAAACCCCCCACCCCCACAACTCACGCCTTCATGCAACCGACACGTTGCTTTTCGTTTTTCGTGGAGTGAGCAGAATTGCGTGCCACACGTCTCGAACGCGTAGTTTAATATACCGGCTGCTTGCTGGAAATCACAGGCGCTGCTTGCTATAAAGTACCGCCGGAAGGAAGATTTCTGCGCACACTCACACCACCCCCTCCTGAAATAGCAAGCATGTGCATTCACTGGCAAGGAATACAGCAGTGGTACGATACACACAGATACGATCGGCGACATCCTGTATGCTGTATAAAGGTAGGTGTGTTGCTCTCCGTGGGCGTCGGCTCTCGTGGTTCGCATAACAGCGGTGAGATACACCAACATGATCGGCGACATCACGTGCTGCTGTGCTGCACACGCTGTAGATACAAAATAGCTCTTGTGGTTCGCAAGCAGCCGTACAAGTACATACAATCCTTTTCTTGCAGCAGAACACTCGGGAAGGCACAGGAAACCCTCCCAAGGGCGGCTTCCAAGTCTATTTCGCCTTCTCTCACCTATCGTGCTGTGACACGCCAAGCAGAAGCCATCTCCCTTTCTTTTTCATTTCCCCGGCTCCTGCTTCGTTCTCTGCCCCGTCGCCGTTCCCACCGGCATAGCTCTCGTTGCTGTCATCTGCGACGTAGACTTCCGCGGGTTGAGCTCCACCACGTAGACGAGAAAGTCGAGATAGCCGCACGGGGTCCCGTTTGCCAGGGGATAGCCGAGGGCAGTTAGAGCGAAGCGGATGATGCCGTCGCTGAAAGCCGCCAGCAGCGGCGCGGCGGCCTTGCAGCACTACTCCGGGCAGTAGGGAGGTACCATGTCGACAGCACAGGGCCAAGGTAGACACGTACAGGATAACTCGTGTCCATCCTATGCCATAGAGATGATGCACCATGTGGCTTTCGCGGAAGAGAGGGAGTGTGACAAGAGGGTAGCACTGCTGTGGACAAGCAGCAGAGAGGCAGAGCGAGATAGATGCGGCGGAACGTGAGGCAGGCCGGCGTGGGGGGGGGCGGGGGAGGGGGGGGGGGGGCCTATGGGGTTCCCCAGGGGTGTTTTTTGGCGAAACTGTCCCCAGAACCAAATGCGTGGATATTTTTTGGGAAAAAATGGGAATACCCGAAAAACCCCCTTTTGGGGAGTCAACGACCGGTCCACGCGAGAAAAAAAAATTCACCCTC